AAATGTTTTGTTTTGATATATATAACTTGTTCGGGTTTTATCATCTAAAATAGCGACATTAATTTCTTGATGACCTAATATTTAATGGATGATGAGGAAGAAGAGGTACCCTGCTGAGAGGAATGCATTTTTTGAGTGTCCTCATTTGATCCAGTCTCTCGTGAGGCTGGTCTACTCCATTAATTATCCCATGAATCCAGTCCTTTGAACCTACTCTAAATTTGGATGATTCTCCTCAACTCTGCTTGATCATATTTTCAATCATTGTACTCTAGGTTGTTACCTTTCCGTTTGATGTAATAGTGGTCTTTATGACTTTCCAGTTCCTTCCTCATCTCAGTGTGAGTATTCTGGCTTTTCATGTTTCATAGATAAGTCTGCCTGTTTTGAATTAATGAATTTCAAACAGATACTTACCTCTAAAATATATTTTCACCCACCTCCCCACAACTACAAAATCTGGATTATGGCAAGAAAGTAGAGCTTCCACGTGTCCTCTTATTGCAAGAGCAATAGGTCACCTGAAAGGTGAGAAAATGTAGAATTTTGACATAGTATCAAGGACATTCAGAATATTTTTTTAAGTTTACTTATAGGAGTAATTCAATAAGTCACAATAATTTTAGGAAATAAATTTCTACCTTATTTGTAATCTTCCCTCCCAAAATGAAGGATAGTAAAATATTATTATAGTGGTAAAAAAAAAAATCAAATGTAGTTGTTACCATCTGTTTTTTTTTTTCTAGTGGTCGGGTTGAGAAAGAAGTGGTAGAGCTAATGAAAAACCTTCAGCGAGACCCTCCCCAATTTCAAAGAAGTATGCGTTCCTCATCATTTCACCAGCAAAGTGAATCATATCCAACAACCCCAGCCACTTTATGTGCAGAATATGAAACTGGTAAGAACTTGGCTTTAACTATAAATAGCTAGATTTAATCATGAATTTTGTACAACTTATTAACAATTTTATAACTACTGTACTTCCAAATGGGGACCATTCTAGTGAAATTTTTACCATGGACCATTTATGCAATGAATGCATACGTTTTTCTGTGTTTGTTTGTTTCAGCTTTCCAATAATTTACATACTGTGGATTATGGGTTTATACGTACTTATACCTGAATAAGGTGCTTTTAATTAAAGGTTAGTTTTTCCCCAAATTAATTTTCAATGTGCGGTCTGTTTTGTGAGATTTAAGCAAACAGTACTAACTGATATCTTTTTCTTTTTTTAATAAGAGATATAAAGTATTTGATATTAAGAATACCTACCCAAGATTGTCTGACATCCCTCAAGCAAAATATTTTAAATATGTTGATCTGTCTTATGATTTGGAAAATAGTTTTAAAAACAGGCATTTCTAAGTGTGTATAACTTGTATCTGAAATACATGCAATCTCTTTTTAAACACATCTTAAGCAGAATGAATCATATGTAAGTGAATGTCTTCCAACTCCCCCAATATAGTTTTTAAATAACAGTGTTTGATTTTTTTTTTAAATGTGCATTTACTTAATAGTTGAGACTAATCTTTTCCAATTATGTTGTGCATTATAGTAGGATTAACTCTGTATACAGGCTCAGTCATTTTGGCTGACCTTACAAACCACCAGGTAACCCTGAAAGTGTATATATATATATATATATACGCAAGAATTTTTTAAAAATTAAAAATTTATAACTATTGAAAATGTTTTGTGTCTCTTCATTGGAAATATCTAACTAAATTTACCAACCATTACTAGGTACTTGCATTTACTAGGTTGGCTGTACATTATGTGTTTAATTCAAATTCAATGACAAGGAACCCACTTTGAGACTAATAATGCTTGGAGATGGCTTGAATGGGTAATGAAGAAAAACTTTAATATAAGTTTAACATAACAGCAAATGTACAATGTTTCGACAAAGTTTTGT